AGAAGTTTGAGGCTACAGTGAGCTATGATTACACCACTGCACTCCAGCCTGAGTGACAGAGTGAGACGCTGTCACCTTTTTATTAATTTTATCATTTCCCATCTATTTTCAGATGCCAGAATGTAGTGATTTTCTAGGTAACTTGCCTTTGAAAGATACAGTGGCAGCTACCTTAGCGCCTTCTCTTTTACCTTTATTATTATTATTATTATTATTTTTTTTTTTTGAAGAAAAAGTTTTTTTCTCATGACTTCTAGTGAGTTCATCTGTCTTGGTATTATATTCTGTGTTACCAGACAGCAAACTGGTCTGAGAGAGCTCTGTAAATATACATTTTAAAAAACTCACCTAAATTCTCGAACAAAAAGATCTTTTTTTTTCCCCCATACATAAACTAACCCTTCTCTGGGGCTTCTCTGCTTTCTTGAAAGACAAGAAATGTGGACGAGAAAGATGCTGGACAACCTGGAAACCAGGTCAGACTATTTAGAAGAACCTCATGCCCTAGTCATGCAAGTAAAAGCGTGGCCTCTTCTCTGTCTACTCCCACTTTCCAGCAGAGCAATATGCTGAACTACAGACTCTAATCTGCTACTTGACATTTCTCCTTGGAGATCTAATAGGTGTTGCAGACAAAACTCTTGATTTATGCTTGCTTTCTTTCTTTCTCTCTTTCTTTCTTTTACTCTCTTTACTCTTTCCTTTCTTTCTTTCTTTCTTTCTTTCTTTCTCTTTCTTTCTTTTCTTTCTTTCTCTTTCTTTCTTTTCTTTCTTTCTTTCTTTCCTTTTTTTCTTTTCTCTTTCTTTTTTTTCCTCTCTCTCTCTTTCTCTCTCTCATTATTTCTTCTCACCTGAACCTGCCACTCCTCAGTAAATGACACTTGTATCCTTCTATTTCTTGGGTTGAAGTCATTCCACATCCGGTTAATCAACATGTCCTGTCATTAAATGTATAAAATCCAGCTGCTTCACACCACTACCACTGCAACTATTATACTCCTTTAAGCCACCATGATCTCTACTCAGTGTAATCGATTGAAAAACGTGGCCATAATAATTTGCACCGGTTGGGCGTGGTGGCTCACACCTGTAATCCCAGCACTTTGAGAGGCTGAGGCAGGTGGATCGCCTGAGGTCAGGAGTTCGAGACCAGCCTCACCAACCTGGCAAAACCCCATCTCTACTAAAAAAATTAGCTGGGAGTAATGGCACATGCCTGTAATCCCAGGTACTCAGGAGGCTGAGGCAGGAGAATCTCTTGAACCTGGGAGCCAGAGGTTGCAGTGACCGATATCGTGCCACTGTGCTCACTCCAGTGAGACTGTGTCTAAAAAAAAAAATAATAATAATTTGCACCATCTTTCATCAAGAAGTAGTCTGTTTACCACCATTGAATCTGGGCTGGCCTTGTACTTGCTTGGGCCAGTAGAATGTGGTAGATGTGTGAGTTCTGGAGCCCAGGCCTCAAGACAGCTTACATCTTCTGCCTTAGCTCTTTTGGGACATTCTGGTTGTCATGTAAGGGAGTCCAGGCTACACTGCTGAGTGAGAGACCACATGGAGAGAGAGGCCCACTGTTGGAAACGGGTTTATAACATCGGGAAGAATCCACACTGAGACAATGGATTACTCAGCAAAGCTAGCTTTACTTCCTACAGGAAAGGTGCAACTCGCTGGCGGTCTTGCCATGAGAGCACACCTGAACAAGGGAGACAGGGACATTTATAACTTTCATAACCTGACACAATCACCCTGCTACTTTGTGCAGTTTCCATTGGCTGGAACAGGACCTCACATTCTATGTTTGACCCGATTGGCTAAAAACTTGGAAATTTTCTAAAGAAGTAAAGCCAGAGGAGAACAAAAGAAAAGAGGAAATAACTTGAGGAATCCTTAGAGCATTGATAACATTTGACTTGCCTGGGCTTGTCCAGGCGTGTCAGGGCAAATATCTAGGTTAAAGTGTAAGAACTGAGAACACGGGATGCACTTATTTCTTTATTATGACTAACAGCTACTTTAAGATTATTAGCAAAAACTTTAAAGTAAATTAAACTCTGAAGAAACTATATTTTATTTGTAATGAATCAATAATCCTTTTATTATTTTCTACAATTCTTCCCTTTTTCTATTTATAATTCCTCTTCAAACTTATTTAACATGTCATTACTCAGTTTTTTTGTTTGTTCTTCTAAAAGAAAAATCTATCTGAATAGGGTGGATGAGGGATTGGAAATATTATAGTAAAAGTTTTGTCCACTAGCCTCTGCATGACTTCTCAGATACATGGTATGACACAACATCTAATGAGAAGAAGCATGTTTATCACAGTTGCTAGAGAGGTAAGAATTGAGGTTATGGTTTCTTTCCATTGACTGAACCACCTTTTGAGCCAATCTGAAATAGGGTTATTGATGCCAGAATTTTTAGCTAGCTTATTTGATAAAGCAGTAGGTCCTTGGAGGGCTTTTGTTAGCTCCTGTTGGGAGCAGTGTTGTTTGGAATAAAGGTACAACACTGGGTTTTAATTATAACACAAACACCACTTTTCTCTGCTAATACCATATCTAGGGCTATTCTGTTTTCTTAAGCCATTTGGCTGGTGGATCCTAATTGTTCCGCTATTCCTTTGACAGCATTTTTAGTATAGTTAACAAACCGCTGTTGATTGTAATAAATGTATTTAATCTACAATTTTTTTAAAATTAATTGTTACCTGCCAGAACAGCATTGACTTAAATCTTGCAGCTGTCTGATCTCAGGCTTTAAATTTATCTGATACTCCTCTTGGGACCCCAGTTGCATCTAAGTACACATGAGAATCAGAAGACCTATAAGGAGCTTATTTTCCGATGCTGTGATTTCTCTTTCTCTGGTTGATGAAATGCCAGGGTAAAAGGTATAGCCAATTGGACTAGAACGCAAGTGCCGCTCCAGTTATTTGTCAGTGTCCAGTAAGGGTCCCCCACAATACCACCATACATCCCATCGGGGATGAGTAAGGGCGGACTGATGAGCCAGCCAGCTACTGGAAGTGCCTGACTTCACTGCATCTGTTAAGTTTTTCAAAGAACACTAAGTTCTCCCCGTCATGAGAGAAACAAGGCAAACTTCACCTTGGGAGATGGAGGCTGTATGGCCCTGATGGGCTGACCCACAGGGTGTTGAACTTCAGGGAATAGCAGCAAAAGAACTCAGCATAATTAATTATTCCAAGCTGTGGATTCTTGAAAAAGAGCTATCATGCACTCCATGTCTGCTTGATTAGACCATTTAAGTGAAAAGGGGACAATCTGGGCCTCTGGCCTACCGTGCGAATGTAACGGTCACTTTTATTTAGGGTGCAAACGGAATATTGAATCCATTCTAACCAGGCATTTGCATCCTTATATTCTCTTTCAATGGCTATGGTTTGCCTTAGGCCCTCTACTTCTACCATTGAGACTTTGGTTTTGTCATTGTGTCTAAGAGGAATGATTGGTAAAGAGACTGAAGGAGCAATAAAGTGCATTTCAAAAATTTCTTTAAGATACTTACCTGAAATGTCGGCTCCTATACTATAAATACAACTTAAGGAAGGGAAAGAGTTTTCAGATGTTGCAATAACAATAGTAAGCTGTATAGGATTACATTGGTTATATTGACGGCTAGAGGGAGTAATTCCTTCGGTGAAGTGGATATGTAGTTTTAAGGACTGGCAAAGACCTGTGGAAGCAGGCTATCTTAAACCTTTAATGTTTCCTATGACATTAGACTAAGCAGAACATAGAAATTCTGTTTTTGAGGGACAAGCGTCTCATTTCTTTTTTTTTTTTTTTTTTTTTTTTGAGACGGAGTTTCGCTCTTGTTACCCAGGCTGGAGTGCAATGGCACGATCTCGGCTCACCGCAACCTCCGCCTCCTGGGTTCAGGCAATTCTCCTGCCTCAGCCTCCTGAGTAGCTAGGATTACAGGCACGCACCACCATGCCCAGCTAATTTTTTTGTATTTTTTTAGTAGAGACGGGGTTTCACCATGTTGACCAGGATCGTCGCGATCTCTTGACCTCGTGATCCACCCGCCTCGGCCTCCCAAAGTGCTGGGATTACAGGCTTGAGCCACCGCGCCCGGCCCTAAGCGTCTCATTTCTACCAGTTACAAATACAGCTACTATTCCTTGGATTACTAGTATCCTTAGAGGAATTCATTATGTCTTCCTAATCTGAGGAAGTCAAAGAAGGACAGAGACATTCTTCTGAAGCAGCAAGCTGTCCTTGGTTATGCAAATCTCCACAAAGGCATAACTAAACAGACATCAAAGCAACAAACTTGAGGTGAGCCAGATCTAATAACATTAGTAACAAGATGGGGAGTAGTTAAAGGGAAGAAAAGAAAAAGGTGAAGATAGACTAAGCTTTTCTTAGCTTTAACTTGGTGGGGTCTGATTCTAGAACAATAGTCATGATTCTAATGGCGATGGCACTTTGTTGACCCTCGGGTGTGACGTGTCCATCTCTTTCTGCTGTACGAATGGCAGTCTTGGTGGCTAGCAGCACGAGGTAAGGTGGTCTCCAGGCTGGTGCTGGTGAACTGGAAATTCTAGGAGTGGTGCCTCTGCTAAGAGGCCTTTGTTAAAGAGCAGGTTAGTGCTTTAAGAAAAACCTGTTGTGCTTTTACTTTAATGTCTAGTTTACAGAAAACTGGATAATACCTCTTTAACTTTAGCTAATGTTTACACACAAAGCTTCCTCTACGATTAACATTTCAAAACTTGCTTAAACTTTCTTTTTTTTTTTTTTTGAGATGGAGTTTTGCTCTTGTAACCCAGGCTGGAGTGCAATGGTGCGATTTCAGCTCACCGCAACTTCTGCCTCCTGGGTTCAAGCAATTCTCATACCTCAGCCTCCCGAGTAGCTGGGACTACAGGTGTGCGCCACCATGCCCAGCTAATTTTTGTATTTTTAGTAGAGATGGGGTTTCACCATGTTGACCAGGATGGTCTCGATCTCTTGACCTCGTGATCCACCCACCTTGGCCTCCCAAAGTGCTGGGATTACAGGCGTGAGCCACCGCGCCCAGGCCTGCTTAAACTTTCAAAACAAAAAATTATATAACATTTCTTGCCTAAATTCCTTTTTATAACATTGTTCACGGCTATCACAGACAATCTTAATTTTCTAACTTTATTTAATAACTTTCCTTACTAAAGGTGCATTCTTATAGCTATAACTTTCTTAATATTTCTTTCTCTTTTTCCTAATCTGACTTGTCTTTCTCTCTTTGCCTCCTTGTCTCTCTCTGCCTTTGTCTTTCTTTCTCTTTTTGACTCTCTTGTCTCTCTCTTTCTCTCCCTCTCCACCATTTCTTCCCTTGGAAAGAGAATACTTAGAATGGACAGTAACTTGATCTAAGTGTATAACTGGGGAACTAAAAACTGATTAATCTGTTCTGCTACCCCATCAGGGTCATCTAATAATGACTTAAGTTCTCTCTTTAGACTCCTGACCTTAGAAGCAGTCAGTTAAGGGGGCATTCACAAAACCAACCGCATCTCCTCTTTGGGGCTTCACAAGCCAACCACGCCTCCTACTAGAGGCTTCACAAAACTAACCAAGCTTCCCCCATGAGGCATCTCCTTTAGGAAAAAAAACAACTTTGAAACTGAAGCTGATTCCTTGAAAGAAGAGGAGAAAGGAAAACTTTGAATATCTCTTTTGCATTGCTCTGTCTCCCGGAGCCCTTTCTTCGGGGAAGCAGATCAGCCGGCAATGATCAGGCCTTTGAGATGCCAGCTCCCAAGAGCCTGGGTTACACAAGGGAGTAGGGAATTCTGAGTTGGGTTCTGGGGCAGCTCAGGAAAGAGGAGGCGGTGCTGTGGGGATGGTGGGAGCAGAAGCTGGAGCTGGAAACTAGGGAAGATGGTCTAAAGGGTCCCATTTATATATGGATTGCTCACGGGTAAAAGCTCCACCCTTTTTAAGTGAGACTACTCCTGACTTCATTCTACTTTCTGTTTTCCTCTTCTCTTAATGGGTAGGGGAGAACTGGCCCCTGGTGCCAACAGAGAGCTTAGTCTTTCTTCTTTTTTTTTTTTTGTGTGTGTGTGTGTGTGTGAGAGAGAGAGAAGGTTTTTGTTAACATACATTATTAAGAGTTGACAGACCTAATCCCCACCTGACCCAAATTTTGGCCAGACAACTGCAGGCTTGAGGATCGATTCTTTAGTCCAAACAAACAAACAAAAAAACAGCAATACTTTATCAAGGTTATGAAGACTCAACCCCTCACGCTAGGACTCTCTTGCTTATTCCGTTGTTTTTTTTTTTTTTTTTTTTTTTTTTTTTACGGAAGGCCCAACCCGCCTAGCTAGGAATCTCTTCCCTATTCCGTTTTTATGGAAGACTCAAGCTGGGAATCTCTTGCCTATTCCGTTTATGGAAGACAACCCCCATAAGCTGGGAATCTCTTGCCTATTCTGTTGTAAAAACTTAAAGCTTACAGAAGACTCAACTCCTCAAGCTAGGAATTTCTTGCCTTCACTGCCCTGGGAGATTGACCTGTTTCCTCCTTTCCCCCTTCTGAGGGTCCCTTACACTCTTCTCATTCCTGCCGACCTCCTTGGCCGCTCCCCAGCGTAGGATTTGTCACCATTCACAACAGCACCGCATTCACACACACACTCCACCCTCCAGAAGTTGACCACCAAGGAAGTACTTTGTCACCCCTGACCGAGGCCCCCTGGTTGCCACAGTTTGGAATCTCTCCTCTGCGTTACTGAGAATCCAGGTTTATTCCTCGCACTGGGTTAAGTCCTGGCTCTCTCGCTCAGGGCCACCAAATAGGGAGGCGGGGCGCCTCCCCACAAGAGAGGACCAAGGACTGCCCCAGAGGGGACATGAAATCTGGGACGAGCCCCCAAGTTTGTTGGAAATGGGTACATAACGTCGGGAAAAATCCACACCGAGACAGTGGATCACTCAGCAAAGCTAGTTTACTTCCTGCAGGAAGGGTACAACTCGCTGGCAGCCTTGCCGCAAGAGCACACCTGAACAAGGGAGACAGCAACATTTATAATTTTCATAACCTGACGCAATCGCTGTACTACTGTGTGCAGTTTTCATTGGCTGGAACAGGACCTCATATTCTATGCTTGACCCAATTGGTTAAAAACTTGGAAATTTTCTAAAGAAGTAAAGGCGCAGAGGAGAACAAAAGAAAAGAGAAAATAACTTGAGGAATGCTTAGAGAATTGATAACATTTCCAAATAAGGAAGGGGAATAAGCTTTGACCTATGACTTACCTGGGCTTGTCCAGGCATGTCAGGGCAAATATCTAGGTTAAAGTGTAAGAACTGAGAACACGGGATGCACTTATTTCTTTATTATGACTAACAGCTACTTTAAGATTATTAGCAAAAGCTTTAAAGTAAATTAAACTCTGAAGAAACTGATATTTATTCTTTTTTTTTTTTTTTTTTTTTTTTTTTTTTTTGTTTTTGAGACGGAGTTTCGCTCTTGTTACCCAGGCTGGAGTGCAATGGCGCGATCTCGGCTCATCGCAACCTCCGCCTCCCGGGTTCAGGCAATTCTCCTGCCTCAGCCTCCTGAGTCGCTGGGATTATAGGCACACGCCACCATGCCCAGCTAATTTTTTTTTTGTATTTTTAGTAGAGACGGGGTTTCACCATGTTGACCAGGATGGTCTCGCTCTCTTGACCTCGTGATCCACCCGCCTCGGCCTCCCACAGTGCTGGGATTACAGGCTTGAGCCACCGCGCCCGGCCCCCCTGATATTTATTCTTAATGAACTAAGAGGAAGCTTTGAAAAGGAACGTTTTATTTATTATTTCCTACACCCAGCCAAGAGAAGCCTAAGTGCCTAGTGTGTGAACAAGACTATTTTAGACTCCCACCCCATTTGAGCTGCCTGATGAATGCTGTTAGTAGAAAAACATTCCAGCAGATTATAGCCCAAACTGCTGACCCACACAATTGTAGGAAATCATAATGAACAGTGGTTGTTTAAAGTAACTAAGTTTTAGGGTAGTTTGTTGTGCCACATTATCACCTATACTGTTGTATCCTTGTAAACCTGTCTCTTCCTCTTCTCCACCCCCACCTTTACCCCATGTGTTCTCCAGGAAGCAGTCAGAATGATCTCTTTCAAATTAATATCAGTTTGTCATTCCTATTCTCAAGACCTTGAGTGGCTTCCTGTCTTGTTCAGCAGGTTATCTAAAAGCCTTACCATGGCCTTTAAGGCATTATGTACTCTTCCCTTTATTAATTCTCTGACATAATTTCATTTCCATTCTTCCTCTAATTTTATCTCTAACTTAAGAAATCTATTCTCTAGACCGGGTGTGGTGGCTCATGCCTGTAATCCAAGCGCTTTGGAGGCCAAGGCGGGCAGATCACCTGAGGTCGGGAGTTCAAGACCAGCCTGACCAACATGGTGAAACCCCGTCTTTAAAAAAAAAAAAAAAAATCTATTCTCTGTAGACAGAGGTGTGGGAGGGTGTGTTGTCTAAGGGAGGGAGCCCTCTACATCGTCACCATGTGGGATTTTAAGAAGATTAATACCTGACACTATTCCTGTAAGCATATAAGAAACACATTTAGATATTCCTCAATTATGCAGCACATAAACTTGAACAGACAGCCATCACACTTAAATAACTGATATAATAAAAAGTAAAGATGGCTAGTTTGATGGACAATAGATTCCCTTAAATAGAGATCCATAGGTTTTAAAAATAAAATTTTTTAAAAAATTTGGTTTTAAAATACCTCAATTTTGGTTTTCCCAGAGCTTCATTTTACTAGTGTACTTTGAACCACTCATTGGAATCATAGGAAGAGTTAATTTTTATGGACATACTAATTGAACAGCATATAAAAACAAACACAAACTTATTAAATGTGAAGTGTTCTGGGAAGCTTTTAAAACTAATTGCATGGAAAGGATATCCTCAGCATCTGAAGGAAATAATACCAAATACACCAAAAGATTAACAATGTTTGTTTCTGGGTGTGAGATTATACTGATTTTTTCCTTATGCAATACGTACCCTCTTAATAGATTTTCATATTTTCCCCTTACAGCATATTCTTCCCTTATCCCCCCAAACAGCTAATGAATCTGTTTTAAAAAAAACACAAGTCATGGTTATTACTCCTCTGCTCAGCGCCCTCCAATGGCTTTCCACTTTGCTCATAATGAAATTCAAAGTTGAAAACCTGTAAGGCTCTAGATGCTCTGGCGTGCCACAGCTTCTGACCTCATTTCTTCCTTTGCTCATTCTGCTTAAGCCAACAGGCCACCTTTCTTTTCATCTGTCAGGCCATGTATGGTCCCACCTGAGGATCACTGGAACGTCCCATTCCTTCTGCCTGGAATGCTTTCCTCCTGGAGTTCCACATAGCTAGCTCCCACTTCATCTAGATTGCTGTTCAGATGGTCACCTATCAGCCATTCCTGACTACCCTGTGTAAAATAAGTACTTCCTCTTTTACTGTCTCCTCATCCTGCATTTTCCCCCACTCGTAGTGCTTATTACTACTTGACATACAGTTATTTGTGTTTCTCTCCTGGGTAGAATGTTCACTGCTGTATTTTCAGAACCTAAAACGGGGTCTGACATAATATGTTCTCAGTAGATATTTGCTGAATGAGTGAATTGATTGTGCAGCTGCCAGTTCCCATACTACTAGAAGAATGAGAATTGAAATGTTTTCATATAATAGACAACTTGCAATTATTGGTAATCGGTATTATTAATAATCGTAAAGTTGCCTCTGAATTTCAGACAGCCTGTTCCTTAGGCAGGTGAGGAAACTGTCTTGAATTGTCAGGAGAAAATATACATAAATACATATATATAGTGCCTGAATTTTTGTATTTTAGTAAACATGGGGTTTTACCATGTTGGCCAGGCTGGTCTCAAAATTCTGACCTCAAATGATCCACCTGCCGTGACCTCCCAAAGTGCTGGGATTACAGGCATGAGCCACTGTGCCCAGCCAAGCCTTATATTTTTATGCAGGTGAAATTTGGTATAATAGTACCTATCAAGAACAGTTTGGAGGAAAAGATTATAAAAAGGTAGGGGATGGATATACCTACAAGCTTTCATGTAGAGAAGGCTGATTTACTGGCTGTTTGTATTTGTAACTATTTCAGATCTAGCCTTATTTCTTGGGTTTATGGCCCAATATAAATAATTTAGTAGAACAACATAAATTTACTAATTTTATAATATATAATGTATTTTTTGAAAGTACCCTTTATTATCATTATCATTTTATAAAAGGATATTCTAATATCAAAGTATGAGAAATAATCTGAATGAAGACTTTAGTGCGTTTAAATCAATATCGTTTATGAAAAATTCTCTCACTTTTGCTTATGTTTCTTTTGCTGTGGCCTGGATTTTAGTAATCATTTCCTTAGCACACCAGCTAATCTTTCCAACTAGTTTCTACCTTGATCTACATAATAACAAGTAATCCTCCTTGACTTCCAGACAGTATGTTTAGAGCCTAAAGCCTTAGCCTGAAACCACGGAGGTGAGGTATTCCTGGATTTAACAACAAAATTTTACTTATTTATTTATACTTTTTGAGCCGGAGTCTTGCACAGTTGCCTAGGCTAGAGTGCAGTGATGAAATCTCAGCTCACTGCAGCATCTTTCTCCCAGGATCAAGCAGTTCTCCTGCCTCAGCCTCCCCTCCCACGTAGCTGGGACTAAAGGCACATGCCACCACACCCAGGTAATTTTTGTATTTTTAGTAGAGATGGGGCCTCACTATGTTGGCCAGGTGACCTCAGGTGATTCTCCTCCCTTGGCCTCCCAAAGTACCAAGATGATAGGTGTAAGCCACCATGCCCAGACAAAATTTTAGAACACAGACTAGACATAAGATCTATGGCTATATGTGGAAGTTCTAGAAAAATGAGAGTTGGCAGATAATATTTTAAATCCTTCTGAACAATATTGAAGGACCCTAGGAAATAGTAATAATCATCCTTACTATTCATGCATTTAATGCACTAAGTAATTAAGTGATTTGTCTATTTCTTTTGATCTTTACAATAACTTTACAAAGGAGGTGCACATGTTTCTTCAATTGATAACTTGAGAAGTTGCCTTAGTTCCTCAATTGAGACCTTTCACATATCCTTCTAAAACCCATACAGATTAGTAAGAGCAAGTAAAATCAGCTGTATAACCTGGGCCTATAGCATAACTAGGACACAGAATTTTTAAAACCTCAATTTATATGTGAATAGGGAAATAGTCATCTAAGAATAGCTAGATGAACTCTCGTGAGTACATCAGAACTCAGAGTAAGGGACTCTGCAGAGGATAATAGGTCTTTGTTCATCCTCAGAAAATGAGAACCCTATCCCAAGTAGGAAATACTGAAAACGGGTTTGAAATCTGGTAGATAAGAGCATGGCAACTGAGAATGCAAAAGAAAAGGTACTTGGAAAGTGTTTATGGCCAGACATGGCAGCCTTAAGGAAACACCGCCTCTAGGGGAGAAGGCAGCACTTTGGAAGCTGAAAGGGTCCCATGAAGTTATACTGTTAATATTTAATAGTAAAGAGAAAGAAGGAAATGCTAGAGGTAAGGACACAGCTGAAACAAGAGTATCAAAGCTATAGAGGATAAATAAATGCTCTGTCCAAACAGCAAATAAATTGTACTTCATTGAAGCAACAGAAGAAGGAAGTGGTGGAAATGAGAAATTAAGCAAGCCCTTTTACCCCAGAGGGTTGCTTGCTGTTGATGGTCCATGAAAATCAACATAACGCAGCATGAACAATGATTAAAACAGCATCCATACAGATTTTTCTGATTCAAAAAATGAGAATCAGTGCTTTTCAGGAGATGAAAATACATTAAAAGGCAACAAAGAAGATAATTAATCATCCGGACATAAATTAAATATACATAAATATCTGCTGAGTAAAAGAAAGTTTAAGTCAAAAGCTTTTTGGTTTGTTTGTTTGTTTGCTGTCTGTTTTGAGATGGAGTCTTGCTCTATCGCCTAGGCTGGAATGCAGTGGTGCGATCTCGGCTGACTGCAACCTCTGCTTTCCCGGTTCAAGCGATTCTTGTGCCTTAGCCTCCTGAATAGCTGGGATTACAGGTGCATGTCACCACACCTGGCTAATTTTTGTATTTTTAGAAGAGATGGGGTTTCACCATGTTGGCCAGGCTGGTCTCAAACTCCTGACCCCAAGTGATTGACTTACCTTGAACCCCCAAAGTGTTGGGATTACAGGCGTGAGCCACCATGTCTGGCCAAGTCAAAAGTTTTTAAAACTCAATAAAATTAGTCAAAGAGCAAGAAGATTTGAAATAAGAGCTGTTCAAACTCAGAAAAGAAATGGAAAATAAGACAATATCAGAAATGAAGACTAAATTACAAGATGCCCAAAGGTGAACAGATATGACTAAAGAGACAGTGAAGGCGTAGGGGATAGAAATAGAAAAAGCCAAGAATCTGAAATCAAGGTAAAGGGAAAGGTAAAAAGATTGGAGGAAAAAATGATGGAGATACAAGATAGGCTAAGATTCATTATTATAATTCACCATATTAATACATCTAGGAAGAAAAATCATTATTTCCATGGATACAAAACAGGTATTTGAGAAGTCCAACACATCTATTCTTGATAAACAATAAAATAGGGATACATAACATAAACAATGTAAACAAAATTTATGATACTTAACGTAAACAAAATTTATGTAGACACAAAAGGCTTGATAAAAGTCCACTATAAAACCAGGAATAATGATGCCTACTGTGGCCATTATTGGTAACATTGTGTTTACAGAATTAATTACCACATTCAATCAAGAGAAAATAATCAGAAACGTGAGACTTTGAAAAAGGGAAAGCTATTTCTGTGTGCAGATTATCTGACAGTATATGTTGAAAAGCCAAGAGAGTAACAACAGAAAACCTAGACAAAAACAATTGAGTGAAATGGTAGAATAAAAAAATTAGCAAACAAAACCCAGTACCTTTTTTTTTTTTTTTTTTTTTCTTTAAAGACGGGATTTCACCATGTTGGTCAGGCTGGTCTTAAACTCCCGACCTCAGGTGATCCGCCCGCCTTGGCCTCCAAAGTGCTTGGATTACAGGTGTGAGCCACCGCGTCCGGCCAACCCAATACTTTTTATATATGCAATAATTTAGTTTGAAAATATAGTGGAAGAGAAGTCTCCATATCCAGTAACATTAAAAAGAGAAATTACCTTAGTAAAAAAAACAAGAAAAATGCCAAACTCATAAGAGGAAACTCCTAAGAGGAAAACATTATTAAAAAAACAGAATGTGACTTGAACAAATGGAAAGGCATTTCATACTTCATAGGCAGAATAACTCAACATTACAGAGATGCCAGTTCTTCCCCAATTAATGTATAAATGAATTCTTTTTTTTTTTCTATGAGTTTGGCCTTTTTTTTTGAGACAGAGTTTCACTCTTGTTACCAGGCTGGAGTGCAATGGCGCGATCTCGGCTCACCGCAACCTCCGCCTCCTGGGTTCAGGCAATTCTCCTGCCTCAGCCTCCTGAGTAGCTGGGATTACAGGCACGCGCCACCATGCCCAGCTGATTTTTTGTAGTTTTAGTAGAGATGGGCTTTCACCATGTTGACCAGGATGGTCTCGATCTCTTGACCTTGTGATCTACCCGCCTCGGCCTCCCAAAGTGCTGGGGTTACAGGCGTGAGCCACCGCGCCCGGCTATGTATAAATGAATTCTAATCCTAGTAAACCTTTTATTTTTTTGCTAGTGCTAGACAGCTTGATGCTAGAGGTCGTATGGAAAATAAACAAGAAAAAATAAGCAACCAGAAATTGCTGAAAAATAAGAGCAATTAGCTGGGCTCAGTGGCTCACGCCTGTAATCCTAGCACTTTGGGAGTCCAAGGTGGGTGGATCGCCTGAGGTCAGGAGTTCAGGACCAGCCTGGCCATCATGGTGAAACTCCATCTTTAAAAAAAAAGAAAAAAAAATAAGAAAAATAAGAGCAATAAGGAGGGGAAACCTCCCAGATTTTAAACCAAAAAAGCCTCTGTAATTAAAACTGTGGGAGCAGAAAGTATGTGAGAACTCTCTGCTTTCTGCCCAATTTTGCTTAAATTTAAAACTACTCTAAAAAATAATCTTTCTTTTTTTTTTTACCTGTATGGTTTGGTTCATGGACATGGATAGATGTATTAACTAATGGAACAGAATATAATGTCCAGAAATAGACTAAAGAAATTTAGAATATTGTAGAAATAGCACATCAAGGCCTTGCATGGTGGCTTACATAATCCCAGCACTTTGGGAGGCCGAGGCATGTGCATCACCAGGTCAGGAAATCAAGACCATCCTGGCCAGCATGGTGAAACCCCGTCTCTACTAAAAACACAAAAATGAGCCAGGTGTGGTGGTCCTTGCCTGTATCTCAGCTACTGAGGAGGCCAAGACAGGAGAATCGCTTGAACCTGGGAGGCGGAGATTGCAGTGAGCCGAGATCACACCACTGCACTCCAGCCTGGTGACAGAGTGAGACTCCATCTCAAAAAAAAAAAAGCACATCAAATCACAGAGGAAAAGATAGGACAACTGGATGCATATTTTGTAAGAGTAAATCAGGTCATACTTCATGCTATGTTTTAGTATAAACTACAAATGGACAAAATCTTTCTTTTACCATATGTATATTTATTTTATTTTATTTTTTGAGACAGAGTTTTGCTCTTGTCACCCAGGCTGGAGTGCAAGGGCGCGATCTTGGCTCACTGCAGCCTCAGCCTCTGGGATTGAAGTGATTCTCCTGCCTCAGCTTCCTGAGTAGCTGGGACTACAGGTGGGACTACCACGCCAGGCTAATTTTTGTATTTTAAGTAGAGACAGGGTTTTACCATGTTGGCCAGGCTGTTTTCAAACTCCTGACCTCAGGTGATCCACCCGCCTCGGCTCCCAAAATGCTGGGATTACAGGCGTGAACCACTGCGCCTGGCAGATCTTTATTTTTAACTTTTTATTTTAAGATAATTTGACTTGTGAAAAACAGTACAAACAATTGTCATAAAACTTTCACCCACATTTTCTAAGTGTTACTATTTGTCGTATGTGCTTCGTCATTCATTCATTCTCTCTCTGAAATGTTTGAGAGTTAAGTTGTAGAGCTAATGCCCCTTTACCTATGTTTACCTTTATTTTCTAAGAACAAGAACATTGTCTTTTTTTGTTGTTTTTTTCTGAAACAGTCTTACTCTGTTGCCCAGCCTGGAGTGCAGTGACGTGATCTGGACTCACTACAACCTCTGCCTCCTGGGTTTGAGCAATTCTTGTGCCTCAGCTTCTCAAATAGCTGGGATTACAGGTGCATGGCACCACACCTGGCTAAATTACGTATTTTTAGTAGAGATGGGGTTTCAGCATGTTGGCCAGGCTGGTCTCAAACTCCCGACCTTAGATGATCTACTCTCCTCAGCCTTCCAAATTTCTGGGATTGTAAGCATGGGCCACTGCACCTGGCAATAAGAACATTATCTTATATAACCAGAGTGCAGTTATTGAAATCAAGAAATGAGTATTGACTAAATACTGCTCTTTAATCTGTAGGCCTATTCAGACTTCATTTGTTCACCCAGTTCCTTGTTCTGCTCCACAGTACAGTCTAGGATCACACATTGCAGTTGTCATGTCTCTTTATTAGCCTTATATCTGGAAGAGTTCTTCAGTCTTACTTTGTGTTTCATAATCATGCATTTTTAAAGAGCACAGGTTTATTGTACTTTGTTTTGAGACAGGGTCTCACTCTGCAGTGCAGAATGCAGGCTGGAGTGCGGTCGTATGATTGTGGCTCACTGCAGCCTTGACCTCCTGGGCTCAGGCAGTCCTCCTGCCTTAGCCTCTTTAGTAGCTGAGACTCAGGCATATGCCACCACGCTTGGCTAATATTTGAAATTTTTTATAGAAATAGAGTCCCACTACATTGCCCAAACTGGTCTCAAATTCCTGGGCTCAAGTGATCCTCTTGCCTCAGCCTCCCTATGTGTTTATTTTGTAAATGTTCCTCAATTTAGGTTTATCTGATCTTTCCTCATGATTAGATTCAGAGTATTACAGGCATGCCTTGGTGGAAAAATTGCAGGTTTGATTTCCTACCACCACAATAAAGCAAATAACAAAATAAAGTCACACAATATTTTTGTTTCCTACTGCATATAAAAGTTACATTCACCTTATACTGTAGTCTGTTAAGTGTGCAATAGCATTATCATATAAAAGTTATGTTCACTCTATACTGTACTAAGTGTACAATAGCATTATATCTTTTAAAAATTTTTTTGCTAAAAATGCTAGCAATCACCTAAGCCTTTTGCAAGTCTTGATCTTTTTGCTGCTGGAAGGTCTTGCCTCAATGATGTTGGCTGCCGACTGATCAGGGAGGTGGTTGCTGAAGGCTGGGGTAGCTGTGGTAATTAAAATTTAAGACAAGAATGAAGTTTGCCACACCTGTTGACTCTTCCTTTCACAAGATTTTTCTGTAGCATGTGATGCTGTTTGATAGCATTTTACTCACATTAGAACTTCTTTCAGAAATTGGAGTCAGTACTCTCAAATTCTGCTAATACTTTGTCAACTAAGTTTATATAATATTCTAAATCGTTTTTGTCGTTTCAGCAATGTTCACAGTATCTTCACCAGGTATAGATGCCATGTCAAAAAAACCATTTTATTTTCTCTTCCATAAAAAGCAACTCCTCATCTATTCAAGTTTTATCATGGGGTTGCAACAATTCCATCACATCTTCAGGCTCTCTTTGTTCTCTTTTTGAGATAGAGTCTCACTCTGTTGCCCAGGCTAGAGTGCAGTGGCACGATCTCGGCTCACTGCAATCTCCGCCTCCCAGGTTCAAGCAATTCTTATTCCTCAGCCTCCCGAGTAGCTAGGATTACAGACATGTGCCACCACACCTGGCTAATTTTTATATTTTTAGTAGAGATGGGGTTTCACCACATTGGTCAGGCTGATCTCGAACTCCTGACCGCGTGATCCACCTGCCTCAGCCTCCCCAAGTGCTGAGATAACAGGCGTGAGCCACCACACCCAGCCAGGCTGTTTCTTATTCTAGTTCTCTTGCTGTTTCCACCACATCTGTAGTCCCTTCCTGCACTGAAGTCTTGAACTGTTCAATGTCATCCATGATCTTAGACTGGAATCAGCTTCTTCCAAACTCCTGTTAGTGTTGATATTTTGATCTCCTCCCATGAAAAACAATGTTCTTAATGGCATGTAGAAATGATGAATCCTTTCCAGAAGGTGATCAATGTACTTTGCCTAGATGCATCATAGACTGTGGCATCTATAGCCTTATGAAATGTATTTCTTAAATAATAAGACTTGAAAATTGAAATGACTCCTTGATCCATGGGCTGCAGAATAGATGTGTTAGCAGGCATGAAAACAACATAAATCTCCTTGTATATCTTCGTCAGAGCCCTTGGGTGACAAGGTGCATTTTCAATGAGCAGTGATATTTTGAAAGGAATCTTCTTTCTGAGCAGTAGGTCTCAACAGTGAGTTTAAAGTACTCAATAAAGCATGCTGTAAACAGATGTGCTGTCACCCAGGTTTTGTTGGTTCGTTTCTAAAGCCTAGGCAGAGTGGGTTTAGCATAATTCTTCAGAGCCATAGGGTTTTTGGAATGATAAATAAGCATTGGCTTCAACTTAAAGTCTCCAGCTATGTTAGCCCCTGAGAAGAGTCTGCCTATTCTTTGAAGCTAGGCATTGACTTCTTTCTGGCTAGGAAAGTCCTAGGTGACCTCTTTTTCCAATTAAAGGCTGTTTCATATACAGCAAGCATCTGTTATTTAGTGTAGCCACTGATGTGGTGTGGCTGTGTCCCCATTCAAATCTCACAATGTGAAAATGCACTAATATAGCTACCTTCATCATGTATCTCAGCTAGATCTTCTGGATAACTTGCTGCAGCTTTCATATCAACACTTGCTGCTTAACCCTGCACTTTTGTTATGGAGATGGCTTATTTCCTTAAACCTCATAAACCAGCTTCTGCTAGCTTCAGGCTTTTAGTCTGCAGCTTTCTCATCTCTCTCGGCCTTCACAAAATTAAGAGTTAGGACTTTGCTCTGAATTAGGCTTTGGCTTAAGGGCCAAACCAGTTGTTACTGGTTTGACCTTCTGTCTAGAACACTTAAACTTTTTCATATCAGCCTTGTCGTACTTCCTTATCATCTATGCACTGGAGTAGTACTTTTAATTTTCTTCAATAACTTTTCCTTGGCATTCACAACTTGGCTAACTTTGGCCCAAGAGGCCTAGCTTTTAGCCTGTCTTGGTTTTTAACATTTCTTCCTCACTAAGCTTAGTCATTTCTAGCTGTTGGTTTAAAATGACAGATGTGTGACTCTTCCCTTCACTTGAACACTTAGAGGCCATTGTAAGATTTTTAATTGGCTTACTTACAGTGTTGTATCTCAGGGAATAGGGAGGCCCAAGGAGAGGGAGAGAGATAGAGAAATGTCTGCTCAGTGGAATGGTAGAAACACCACATTTATTATGTTTTCCATCTTATATGGATGCAGTTTGTGGTACTCCAAAACAGTTACAATAGTAACCTCACAGAACACTGATCACAGAGCACCAGAGCAGATATTATGATAATGAAAAAGTTTGAAATATTGTGAGAATTAGCAAAATGTGAAACAGAGACACAAAGTAAAGAACATGCTGTTGGAAAAATAGCACAGATAGATGTGCTTATTGCAGGGTTGCCACTCCTTCAATTTGTAAAAAACATAATGTCTGCAAAGCACAGTAAGTTGAAGCACCTTATGAGGTGAGATGTGCCTATATGTATTTTCAGCAAGAATGTCACAGAAGTAATGCTGTGTCATTGATTATAACATTTTGGGGACTGTTAATGTTGATCAACACCTAAGGTGGTGTGTGCTGTGTTTCTCCATTCTATAAAGGTACAGTTTTTCTTTGTAATTAGTATTCTATTAGACCACCACATCACACGGATTTCTTTTTGAGGAAGGGCTTATTGCTCAATTTTGGTCAGTGTAGTCAGCAGATAGCTTCCAGCACTTTCAGCATAACTCATATCACCCAAGGTCACACTCTTCCTGTGTACAGCTCGTACACAATGCCTTAGTGAGGTGGGGTGGGACTGCCCACTTCAGAGCTCCCTGCCAGTTGCTGAGGCAAGGCCTGCATTGCAGTGAGATTGCTCCCTCAGCCCAATTATGCCTCTTCCCGCTTCCTTTTACATATGCTGGTCCCTAGTAACTATATTGCATCCTAAACTCTGTCTCAGCATCTGAGTCCAGAGAACCCAACCTTAGTCATTTCTTATTGGGAGACATTTTGAAACCCTGTGAATAATCTGTTTGTTATTACTTTCACTTGCTGCTTTTAGCATCTATTTAGAATTCATGCTTGAAATTGCTATTACTGTACGGGTTGCCAAATGGTGGTTTTCTAATTCTATGATTTCTTCTACATTTACTAGTTAGAATTCTACTGTATGGAAGAGCTTATCCTTCTCTTACTTGTTTATTGATCCACTCATGTATATCAGTGTATACCAGCAAATTCTGTTTTGTGGGTTATAATCTAACATTCATTTTATAGTCCAGTTTGTCCCAGATTTGACCAGTAGGAGCCCCTTCCATCTGATTTCTGTGTGCTTTGATGTGTCCTCATCATTTTTTTAGTACTTCCTTTCTTTCTGACACCACAACATATTTCAGCCTTGTTTGATACTTTTTCTGCCCCTGGAATTGGTCATTTCAATAGGGACCAAGTATGAATATAAAAAATGGAAACATTCAAGCACTGGAAGAAAACATGGGTGGATGATCTTCTAAGAGGGGAGTGAAAAAAGCCTCTAACAATATCTCAGAATCACCAAGCCCAATAGAGAGAAGAAAAAAAAAAACAGATAAATAACATAAGCAGATGTTTCACAGGAAAAAAAATGAAAATGACACATAAACATAGGAAAAGATAACTGACTCTCATTTATAAGGTAAATACGAAGTAAAATTAACCCTGCCATACAAAAGTTTGAAAACTTCATTGAGTAGACTGCAGAGAAACAGTCAGTCTCATTCATTACTGGTAGAAGTATAAAATGGTACAACCCCTATAAAAAGGTGTTTGCAAAAAGCTAAAGACATGGTGGACAGATTTACTTTTGGTTCACTAATCCCACTATTAGGAATCTACACTGAAGATAAACTTCCACAAATAAACAACACATGCACAAGGTTATTTATTACAACATTGTAGTAGCAAAGAATTGTAGACAACACAGACACCCGTCAATAGAAGGCTGATTAGTAACTGGAATACCCACACAATGGAATATTGTACAATGCTTAAAAAAAAAAAAAAGTATGTCTCTGGGTTCTAATAGGTAGTGATTTCCAGAATTTGTAGGACATTTCACAAGACATCTGGCCCAATCTCTTCAAAAAGTCATCATCATATGGATTATTGGAAGATGATGGTAATAGTGCATTATTTTTGAGTCACTCCAAATCACTGCATAAAGATGGAACATGAACAGTATCTGTAGCAAAACTAGTTTGCTAGAGAAAGAGAATGAGCTTCAAACATTTAAATTGCAGAGATACAAATTAAACTCTAATAGAACATTAAGTATTTATTTTCTTGTAGACCCAAGACTAAAACTAAATGAGGAATAAATAATGTTTGTAATGTTTATACTATATACTTTGACAATGTAGATACAGCACAACTGTTAGAGAATGGAGAGAGAATATAGAGAATATGTTAAAAAAATTATTCAAACTTTTAAATAATCATATTACTGGCAGTGTTGTTATTGGTGTCATTATCTCCATATTATTGAATGGGCAACATGGGATATTCTAATTCTTCCTCCCTTGTGTCCTTGAGAACTAGAATTCTCAATGGAAAAAGGGAAAGGGAGATACAAATATAAGATAGAAGATGTAAGTAAAAACCCTGTAATCCCAGCACTTTGGGAGGCCCAGGCGGGCAGATCACCTGAGGTCAGGGGTTCCAGATCAGCCCGACCAACTAGGAGAAACCCTGTCTCTACTAAAAATACAAACAAATAGCTGGGTGTGGTGGGGCGTGCCTGTAATCCCAGCTACTCCGGACGCTGAAGCAGGAGAATCGATCAAACCTGGGAGGCAGAGGTTGCAGTGAGCCGAGATTTCGCTACTGCACTCCAGCCTGGGTAATGAGCGAAACTCTTATCTCAAAAAAAAAAAAAAAAAAAAATCCTGTAGACTTTATTTTTTAATTGGAAGTATCAGTATAAACTTATCAGGCATTTCATTTCCCTTTTAAAATGGAAGGCACACCCATACACACACAGAGACACACACATGCACATAGGCAGTAAAGGAAAACAAACCCTGTTGATTACCAGTCATTTAAGTAGAAATCCCAGAGAATCTGCAAACAAGATACTAGAACTGAAAAGTTAATTTAGCCAGCATACAAGGTCAATAAATAAAACTAAAACATATTTCTAAATAATATTCTACAGCAATGAGTAATTAAAATTGAAATTTTTAGAAGTGCTGTTTATAATAGCATCAAAAACATGAAATATTTTAGGGACAAATCTAACAAAATATGTGCAAGGTTCTGTGTGATAGGGAAAATCTAAAATGGAGAGATATGTCATGGTCATGGGCTGTAAGACAATATTCTAAAGACATTATTTCTCCCTAAATTGATCTGTAAGGTCAGCCAATCAAAATCCAGGCATCAGCCAGCACTGGATCTG